TAGCTTTGCTTCTCTAACTCTCCAAGCATAGCTTCATAGCTTTGCTTCTCTAACTCTTCAAGCATAGCTTCATAGATTTGCTTCTCTAACTCTTCAAGCATAGCTTCATAGCTTTGCTTCTCTAACTCTTCAAGCATAGCTTCATAGCTTTGTTTCTCTAACTCTCCAAGCATAGCTTTAAAGATTTGCTTCTCTAACTCTTCAAGCATAGCTTCATAGATTTGTTTCTTCAAAATCTCCAAGCACATCTTCCTAGCTTTGTTTCCTGTAGAGATGCTAGTTTAAGCACAGCTTCATAGCTTTTTTCCCTGTAATAAAGATAGCTCAAGCACATCTTTCTAGCTGGTTTCATGTAGATGTTAACTCAAACCCAAGCACCGCTTCATAGCTCTGTTTCCTCTGGCTCAAACACATTTGATTTTAAGCACATTGATTTATCATAACATTTGGTGGTGGTGCTTCCATTAAATTTTATAATTTGTTACTTACGATATGCAAGCACTTTATTCAGATCCATTCAGTTACTTTAGTTTTGACAGGCATACATTAATAACACATAGGTCATATATTATTGTGTTTCAGATATTCATGAAAATAGAAAAGAAACTAATGACAGCTATTAAGTACATTGTTCACAGTATATGGTATTGTGCAAGATAATCTGATTACTTTGCAGTAATGTCAAAATTATTGTCTAGTGCATTTTGATCACAGATACAGTCAGGAGTGAAGAGGAAGATGGAGACAGCAAGCATGAGGAGGAAAATAAAGACGAGAAGATGGAGGAAGATAAAAACTGGAAGAAAGTGGAAGATAAAGACAGGAGGATGGAGGAAAATGAAGACCGCAATCCTGAGGAGGAAGGTAAAGGAGAGAAGATGGAGGAAGATAAAGATGGGATGATAGGGGAAGATAAAGGCGGGAAGATAGAGGAAGATAAAGACAGGAAGATAGAGGAAGCTAAAGGCGGGAATATGGAGGAAGCTAAAGGCGGGAATATGGAGGAAGATAAAGACGGGAATATAGAGGAAGATAAAGACGGGAATATAGAGGAAGATAAAGACGGGAATATGGAGGAAGATAAAGATGGGAATATAGAGGAAGATAAAGATGGGATGATAGAGAGAGATGAAAACGGGAAGATAGAGGAAACTAAAAGCGGGAATATGGAGGAAGATAAAGACGGGAATATAGAGGAAGATAAAGACGGGAAGATAGAGGAAGCTAAAGGCGGGAATATGGAGGAAGATAAAGACGGGAATATAGAGGAAGATAAAGATGGGATGATAGAGGAAGATAAAGATGGGATGATAGAGGAAGCTAAAAGCGGGAATATGGAGGAAGATAAAGGCGGGAATATGGAGGAAGATAAAGATGGGATGATAGAGAGAGATGAAAGCAGGAAGATAGAGGAAGCTAAAGGCGGGAATATGGAGGAAGCTAAAGGCGGGAATATGGAGGAAGATAAAGACGGGAATATAGAGGAAGATAAAGACGGGAAAATAGACCATCAGGAAGAGGAACAACCTCTTAAGAGAAGCAATGTGATAGTTGGAGAAAGTAAGTTATATAATGGCATTTACTGTATATAGACTGTCCTACCTACTATTGTAGTGTATAAATTAGCAATCGTCATTCAATACTCAATCAGGGCCTCCAGTAGCCAATGGCTAATTATCCCCCGTCACGAAGTGTCGGCGGGAGATAGAGTGGTTCCCAGCATCCGTCCGTACGGAGAGGTAACTTGAAAACTTACAGGCTGATTCTCTTCAAACTTGCTGTGAGTCATCCTCTTACACTTCTAGTGCAAACTGCCAGCTCACATACACCAGTCTGTCCAGCGGAGCTGTTCATATTACTGATTGTCTGTTGTCGTCCGTCGTCAACTTTACATTTTCAATTTCTTCTTCAAAACCATAAGATTTGTTCATTTCATGTCAAAATCTCAAATTCTCTATTTTTGGTGAATATTTTTGTCATCATTTTGTATCAAAATATCATGTTCTCCACTTTTGGTAAAAATTTATATTTTCAATTATATTTCAAATGTGTTAAGCTGGTACATTTCATAATACAGCAGAGCTATATCAGCTGATAGGCTGCTTGTTATAGCTTAACAAGCGTTGTCATATGACGACATACACGAGCATTGGTAGTATACGCAGACTTGAGTGACATGCATGCCTCATAAAGCACACACAGATCCATATGCAGACACCAGTGTTGTAGATTCTGCATGCCTGCAGAACTCACCCACAGATACACGTTTGAGGTACCCATACATACTTTGAATGTTATATAACTTTTATCCATTTCTTCTGCAGGAATAGAAGTACTTGCAAAATTATCAGTACAAGGAAGTAAAACTAAATATTTAGTGAATAAAAATGAATTGATAAAACATATTGAGAAAGAAAAGATGTCAAAGAAGTGTTTGGCATCATTTCTGGGAGTAAGTAATAAATCATTTTTTATGTGGTGTATTAAAGTAAAAGTGTCATCATGGGGCAGTATCATCAACCAATTGAAGGAATAAGTGATCAGGTTCTAACCATTAAGATTTTAACTTAAAACTGGAATTGAAAGTTTAATATACTAACAATTCAAATAAATAGAGAATATTCAATGAGTGACCCTATATCATATTCATTAAAGTGTAGGTAAACATGACAATGTGTTTATCTTCAAAACGCCGTCGGGGCATTGTTTTTGGTTGAACAGCGTTACAACAATCATACAGACAACTAGCCTGGGTGTTAAATTATGCATAAACTTGAAGTAGTGAAATTTGAGCTGCTGCCCTGCAAAATTGACAATTGGTAGACAGTTTTCAAGATGGCACTTTCTTCATAGTAAACAGATGTACTAACACAATTTTAAAATTCATACAATAAGCTTTCCGAAAATATATAGTTTTGTGGACAAGGGAGGTCATCTTGGTTTCCTAATTAAAATACCTGTCAGGTAAACTACATCTCTACCTTAAGTTGGTACAAAGACAAGTCATAGTGGTAGCAAGATACCGATTACATTTTCAACATGTCATCAATCGTTTCTCAGACGTTCCTGTAAATCTGTCATGCTAGTTTTATTGACGTAACTTAGTCTTTTGTAGTTTGTTGGCAAAGAATGTGTAATTGTTTTGCAATTGATTCTCTTTACTATCTTATAAATGCTTTTTCTTAATGCTTCAAATTTTGCTTTCCACTTAGAAAAGAAAGTGTGTCCTTCCAGAAGACCTTCCACCTCCCAAAAAAAACTGTAGAAGTTTGGTGACAAAATTCACCATTCTTCCTGATGAAGAGGCCAGAGATGTTAGTAAGGCTTTTCTAACATCTCTAATGCAGCATGTAAATACTGAGGATATTTTTAAAAACCTTAGTCAGGAGGAGAGGAGAGTTACAAAGTAAGTTGATGTTTGTTATATTGTTAGGGGTCCAAGCATCAGGATTGGGCACTTTTTGTTATCGCTTTTCCGCTGTTTATTTCACCAGGCATTTTTTTGGTCTAAATGTCCTTCAATTCACTTGAAACTTCACTCGCACTTTGGGGACCATGAGATCTAGTGCATATAACTTTTTTGAAAAAATTGGTCACATGGTTCGTCCACCATCTTGGATTTAGCTAAACCTGGAAGTGCTAAGGGACGACGTCAAAAGATCGATGTCGGATAAAAAACTTAATTCCTTTATTTTTTTTCAACCCCACCCCACCCCCACTGAAACTTAATTGATAAATATTGGTCATGGTGTCAGACTACATTCATCATTAAATACAAATTGATAATCGGACAGTAGTATGGCATAGCAGCTGGTTGTCAGGCGGGTGTAAAAAGATGTTACAAATGCACCTCATTTGACGCGCAGATTTACACTCGAACCAAACCATTTTACTGTTTTTTTTTCCCTTTCCGGTTATTTCTGTCCATGATTGGATAGAAAAAAAACGAACTACAAATACTCCAAGATTTGTGATCTTTGTTTTTCTTTGTGAGCAAAAAAATACCTTGTTGAAAAAATTTAACTGGTACTATGTCATTTTCAATGACTCATCAATCTTAAATTCTACTCTTTAACATAGATCAAGTCTTAAGAAGATGGCCGATAACTTTTCAACTTATGATGAAGAATCTACATTCAGCATCACGACTCATACCTTCGGACCACACGCAGCTTGTGGTCTCCTAAATTTTTTGGAAGAAGGCCTATAAACCAATCCATGAAAGATTGCTGTAATGTGTGCCACATGATGGGATAAAATATCAATATCAATACTTATTTGTTTAAATTTGTTTAAATTCCTGGAGAAAAAACTCAGAATTACTCACCTGTTGATTTACCCATGATACACCAAATCCATGGGAGTTCAGTAGATTTTTTACATAAAGGTGCCAACATTTCAAACCCATATTTGCCCTGGTACATGTAAACTGATACTGATATAAGGCTGATTCTATGTGGATACATTTTAACCAAATCTGAATTATCTTGGTATATAAGACCATATTCACACCATGGCCATTGCTGTTGGATAACAAGTCTCCTTACAAAAACGTTCCAAAACGTCATTCATGCACATCCGCTTCGGATTCGTTATGACCGATTATTTGTTAATTTGTCAAATTGCGTATTTAGAACATTTTGCAAAAGGTACCTTGTTATCAAACAGCAATGGCCGCGATGTGAATAAGGTCTATTAATATTCATATGTATTGGATGTCTTTCCAACTCTCCTGGCTGCACAGTTGTTCATTGTTATATTGGCACCGAATAAAAATTTGCAAAATTTATTATGTATTTTTTAGTATCTATGCAAGTATGCACCGTTGATTACTCTCTTGTTTTCCTCATAATCTTTACTGGATATACTGTTTAATTAATTCTATTCTAATTAATGTTCGGATACAAAATGTGGCAGCTTGAATTTGGCATTCCATGTGCTTCGCTTAAGTGGTTTGTATTCCCACAGTTTTTGATTAAATGTTTTTTTTTAATTCTCGCGTGTATGCAGGCACAAAATTACGTCACCATAGTGGATCTCCCGGTGGTGACGTCACTGCACATAATCTGAACAGGCATTTAATAAAAATATTCTATCTACTTGCTTGTTAGAACATGGGCATATACAAGTAATGTTAAGCCCCATTGTAT